AGCGGGGGTCTCCCTCGGTCTAGCCCCCCTCCCCTGCCAACGTCGAGGAGGGAATCCCCCGCTAATTTTAAGGCACTGATGACTGGGTTCCTTTTGCAGCCATTGTTCCTAGCAGCGTGCAGGTGTTGAACCTTTGTTCCGTAAGTGTTCTTTAAAGGAGACACACAAAGGTGTCCCCTCTGGCTGAGCCCAGGGGCCCAGCGCGGGGAAGGAGTTTACAAAGAGCTTTCTTCAGCCCGGAGCCTTGAAAGGAGGGCTGGGGGTGGAAATCAAAGCCGCCGGCGCACCTTTGGGTGTAGGAAATAGTGAATCCTTTGGGTCGTTTGCTCTTGTCTCGGTTTCTTATCTCCAGACCTTCGTGCTTGAAACCCCCTCACCGCCCCCTCCGCACACGCACACCTTTGCTAATGCGGTTTAGAGGCCAGCATTTGGAGCCTCGGGTGTGTGTGGGGTGGGGGTGGGGTTCCACAGTGCTGATCCGGAGATGGGCACTTCAGTTTCCTTTTCGTCTTTGACCCTGAACAGGGACTGGTTTGTGTCTGTGTTGAGTGTGTCTGTGTGTCTTTGTGTGCGTGCGCCCACAGGGCTCCGGATTAGGGGATGAGCCGGGGAATAGTTGCAAATAAATAAAATAAATAAATAAATAAAATATATATACATACATACATAGGTAGAGCATACCCAGGAATTGGACATAGATCAAGAATTTATTGTCACTTAATTTTAGATTTGCACGCAGTTGGTTTTTTGGGGGGAGGGGGTGCTGGGAGAGGAGGTGGTAAGGAGTGTGGACCCCTGTTGTCTTTGAAACGGGCACTCTGCACAGCTGTGCTCCAAATAATGCATCACACTTTAACCATCAACCCCAGACTGCTTTGTGAACTTGCTTTCTTTCATAGAGGACTGGAGTATTGCACTGTGAAAAATGGATTTTGTGAAGGTCTCCAAGGTTTTGCAATTGTTCAGTTCAGACCTCAGGGGAGAATCAGAGACTCTGTAAATATTGCTCTCTGCTTGTACTGAGCATTTGGTATTTTGCATCTTCTCCAAGTTATTGAGACTCAGAGCAGCTCTTCCCAGTTAACTAAAATTCAGTAGGCTATTCAGAGCCGGATTGAATTCTCAGAAGACCTACAACGTTGTACAATAGGGTAGTCATCCTTTGAAATGAATGAATTCCACAGAACTGCCACTCTCATATGAAATAGCCACAGTCACCCAGCAGTGAGTGTTTTCACTCTTTTTGCTCAACTTCAGTGCCGCATTTTAATATTTTTCAAAGGCTGGAGACGCTTTTAAGTAAAGGAACTCTGCCGCCAAATTCTGCAGGAGCATCTCGCCCGTTATTTCTTTGTTTAAAGGCAGAGGTGACTCTGGCCCCTGCCGTTTCTTTCTCCCTTTAGATTTTTCAAGACATATTTCACTTTGGGTTGACCTTACAGTGTCATTAGTAGACTTGCTCTCTGGCCTGAAACTGTACTTAAATCTGCTGGTTTAGTTATTGTAGAGATTGAATCAGCCCCTCACCAATTACTGTGTGGCTGCAAGTGGATTTAAGTGCAGTATCATTGTTGTGCTTGACAGAGGTCATCCCTTTAAGACAGAGCAGCTTCTGTTTCCCTGCCTTTTTACCAGAGGTGATGCGGGAGGCTTCTTATGCAAGCATAGTTGTATACATCCCTGGAAGCTCCCAGCAGTTTTATAAGGCTGCTTCTATGAACTACTCTCAAATAGACACTGTGGACCTAGTTTACTGCGAGACTCAGTGCAATCTGCACATAGTATCCAGTTTCTTTTGAAGTCTTGGAATATAGAGTTCCTATCTCCTGCCTCTGTGTTGACCCAAGGAAAAAGTCTGCAAAAACAGATCCAATGCAAAGGTGCCATGTACAGAGAACTGTAGAGAATTCTAGAGGACACTATTTTGGAGGAGAGAGACTGGACAGCCATTTAACACAAATAATCAAGCCTGTTTATTGTCTCCATGTGCCTACTATAATCTAGGCAAACGAAGGAAGGGGGCTTTAGAAGCTCTTGATTTATCGTTTTCATGGAAATGCTTGTGGCTACTGTGCAGATTGACGTAATTACTATCTTGGCAAAATGGGCATTTTTTTTTTTGCAAATGCTATTAATGATGGCCTAATCTCACTACCTTATCTGAACTGTCACATTATATAACATGGCTCTAAATTAAACATAAAAAAAAAAGCAGGCAACCAGGCTTATGGCTTGATTTTGCACTTGAAGGTGATACTTTAAATACCAATTCAAGCCCATAAATGCCTGTTATAGCTACTAATAAAAGTTTGGTTCCTACCCATTTGGGAAAACATAAGTACTTGCTTTATTTTTCATGCTCTGTCCACCATCTTGGAATTTGATCTCGTCTACAAAGGGTAAGGCTACATTTTGAAGCTGCCATGAATATGTTTGATTTTTTTTTCTTTAAATTTCAGTATCCATCCAGTTTTTCAGCAGTGGGATAGGATAATAGACTAAAGGTGCTGAGCAAAAAAAAAAAACCTTTTATTTGTTTAAAAAATGCAGCTTGAAGCAGGAAGTATGTTATAAATAATCCTAACTCCATGAGCATTGGCGGCAGAGCCTGCAGCCTGGTGCTTCAGAACACAACATCCCCGTTATGTAACGCAAAGTATTTACAGTAGCCACTGCAAAGCGTTTATAACTCTCTGAAATTTTTGAGGCTTTCCTGGGTTTCTGCTGCCTGCAGTCTGGGTGTTAAAGTTGACTCAGGCATTTGAGATTCCAAATTGAACGGACCTCTGAGGTCACTGCTTCCAGGTCATCATTTGACAGTATCAGGGGTGTGATTTGTGGTCTCTGGAGACATTGAAGAATTCATTCTTAAATTCTAGGTTATAGTGGCAGCAGCTTGCCGCCTTCCTGAGATGCTTCATGACGATTCATTCACAACGTTCCTTTGCTTCCTTGCCCAGGGTTAGCACCAGCCCTCCTGACATCCTTACTAGCCCTGTTTGACTCACCAATTTTTTTGTTTTTGTTTTTTGAAGCTAAGAGCGACTTACCTCATGGATTTTAAATGGCAGCCTGGGGCCTGGGATGGGTTTTGGAAAGCCTGTGAATCCCCTGAAAACAAATCCAGCCTCGTGCCTGCATTTGAGGATGGGCATTGTCAGCTAAGAAGGGACAGACCTTTAATCAGATTCTCGGGATTGGGGGGGGGTCTGGACCCCAAACTGGTCAACAATGCTGTAAATCAACATCTTCACTTTAGGAAGAGGAGGGAAGCCCAGGGATTCTGAGTGTTTTATCCACCTCATCCAGATTGTCGGTAGCCAAGCCAGGATTAGATGCTCACATTTGATGATTTCTAGGCCAGTATTTCCCCCCACCACACTGCAAAATGCTGGTCAAGGAGAGTATGTTCTAACTAATGAAAAAGAGATTTAAGAAACTAAATGATGGTGAACGGATAACATTCAGTGTCTTGTTGTTAGAGCAGTCCTGGCCTTGGATGCTCTCAGCACAGCACCCCCACCCCCGCCCCACTCCTGCAGTCACCGAATAGACTCATCGCACCCACGTTCCCAGGCAGATAGTAAAACCACATTCCAAACCCAGAGATTTGTATTCCTGGTGCAGTGGAGGGCTTGAAATGAATGACAGCATTTTCTTATAACCTCAAAAAAAATCTCTGCAGTATTAATTCCTCTTAGGTCTGTTTCCAGAAGGTACTGAGGGTGGATTTTCTTTCTAAAGAACCCCACAATGAGGTGGCATTTCACCAGCTAACTTTGATTCATAGAAAAATCATTGCATAACTGATTCATTGAGCTAGATGTCTTGGAGGGAAGAGAGAAAGGTGTGTCTGCCTTCCTCATAGGAAGGGCTGAGTCCTTTCCCAGCTCTGCCACTGGGGGCCTGATTTGATGTGTTGTCTGAGCTTCAGTGTCCACATCTGTCAAATGAAGGTACTGAATTTGGTAACCTGTAGGCAAAGTCTACATATTTAATCTATGAATTGCTAGTATGTTGTATATTGCTTGTAATCCAATTGTGTAGCACAGAATAGGTTGTATATACTTGTATGGTGTGAGTGTACTGTTTTTTGGGGGAAGATAAATAAAGTATTGTCTTTGTAGGATGGGATGGGTCACTTTCTCTCCGCTTTTTGCCTTAATTCTTCTATAAACAGAAGCATTTGGGATAGAGAGAAAAAATAATCCACCTTACCATCTGGGAATTGTATTACATCTTGCAAAGCACGCTTACCTTCACTTTGTCCTGTAATCCTCCCAACACTGTGAGTCAGGTAGCATTTACTCATTTTACACATGAACATTTGGAGGCTCAGAGAGGTCAAGTGACTTATTCATTGCCACACAGCGGGCAGGCGGCAGGTGCTGTGTGACCTGGGTCCAGGTTCAGCATGCCTTCTGCCGTCTCAAAGGCCCGTGTCTGTGGGAGGGGTCCGCGTCCCGCGGTTGGTGGTATATGGGGCACCTCTGACTCTTGGTCTTGTTGTGAATCCTGTTCCAGGTGTTTGATATCAGCTGCTACCAGGAGTCCCTGGCCCCCTGCTTCTGCCTGTCTGCCCACAGCAACATCAACCAGATCACCGAAATTATCCTGGGGGAGACCAAAGCCTATGTGTTCTTCGAGCGAAGCTATGGGGACATGCATTCTTTCGTCCGCACCTGCAAGAAGCTGAGGGAGGAGGAGGCGGCCAGACTGTTCTACCAGATCGCCTCGGCAGTGGCCCACTGCCACGACGGGGGGCTGGTGCTGCGGGATCTCAAGCTGCGGAAATTTATCTTTAAGGACGAAGAGAGGTGAGTCTCCTTCCTGTCCAGACCCAGGCACCATTATAGGCTGCTCAGAGCATCTTGCTGGACCGCTGGGGCCGGGCGTTTTTTGCTGCCTGCGGTCCAGGTGAGACAGGAGCGCGGAAGGGCTAAGAGAGATGAATACTGCAGTGTTTTAAAGATGTTATCAAATGCTCACAAGTGCCAGGATATTCTGTGACCCAGTAATCATATTTATTTTGGTGCTGTGAGCTCTGAAGGTGGCTGCAAGCCTGTGTAGCATTTTCAGAGTGAATAAGGCAAGACTTTGAAAATCCTGCCTTCAGAATGTTTAGCGCCTGGCCTCAGTCATTTATCATTCATTCATTCATGCATTCATGCATTCACTCATTCCATAGATATTCCCTGAGTCTGTTCCTAAGTATGAATCACAAGTCTCAGTACTATGAAGACCAGGATTAGCTAGTCACCTGACCTAGAAAGACATGTTACAGGCCCCGCGTGCAGGTATGTACAGGCCAGAGCGGGGCTGGGGGCTGGGATATCAGTTCTAACAAAGACTTGGAGAATCAAGAAAGTTTTTATAGGAGAGGTGATTTTGGAGCCAAGGCTTGAAAGGTGAGGAGGTTACAGGCCCCGTGAGAAGGACCGGCAGGTAAAAAAACCACCAGGGTGCGTGCTCGGCAGTCGAAAGATCTCGGTTATTTTAGGACACGGCAAGACGAGATGCTGGGCATCTGGGCCCCATTCATGGCTCTTCCATTAACTCATTACATTCTATTTAGCAGACCCCACGGGGGCTCTGCTTTTTCCTCCAGCTGACTCTGATTGTAAAAACTCTTTCAAGTGACTTTTTTCTTTTTAACAATGTGCTTTGTTAAAGGAGTGGAGGCTACTGATTTATATTCATTGCTGACTATTCCAAGAATGTTCTAGGGGCTCTGGGTACATGATGTCATGGAATGTGCATGCCTGCCTTGGGCATCCTCGTCTCCCATGAGGAAAGTGCTTAGTGAAGTGGAGGTTCCATTGTCCCAAAGCTATTAAGGACCAGCTGAATTCAAGGCTGGCGCACATCATTCAGTCACTCAGCAAACATTCCTGGAGTACCTTTTATGTGACTGGCACAGATCTTGCTGTCAAATCTGTCTGTCTTCCAGTTAGTTTGCCATCTATGCCAGTGGCCTGTGATATTTTTAGGCTCTTGCTTTTCTAGAAGTCTGATGGCATCCAAATGAGAGGAGTCTAGTGGGGTGTTCTTTGGTTTTTCCATCTCC